ACTTGTGCTAGGCTAGCACAACTCAGATGTGCAATATTATGAACATCCAATAATTACAAACCCGAATTTTTAACAAAAAATGCGTGCGCGAAGGGCCGCGCTCAAGAGTAAAGTGCCCTTCATATCGTTATGCTGACGAAACCGACGGTTATGCCGATTTGTGCTAAGCGTATATGTTAGATATGCATTTGCATGCTCTTTAGATGACTGATATAAGAATAAATATCATTTATATATTTTTTTTTCCCAAATCTATTTTTTATCATAATCTCTATTGTTATTATTTTTTAAAGATAATATTTTGACACAACTTAGCACAACCTAGCACAATCGAGAAAATTAAAAAAATCGCAAAGTGGGGGGCTAGCCCAAAATGTCGTTTCTTTTCATTTTTTATAACATTTTTCACATTACGGTTTTAGAATTCGAGCACAATGTAGCACAAACCTAGCACAATTCAGCACAACTCTCAAAATAAGTTATTTCTAAAAGTGGAGGGCTATCTTCTAATAGGTGAGAATTTGATGCTTTTCTCAAAATTCTCACAACATCTGGTATAAATAATTCAAATACAGATCTTACATTAAATATGTGGAAATTCGTCATATCCATTATATCGTGCAAACATATAGATATAAATCGATTTCGGGACATCAAGCGATTTATTTGCTTCAATGATGCAAATACTCGAGAAGAACGTCAGCAAAGTGATGAAGCAGCATCCATACGTGACTTATGAACAATGCTGAATTCAAACTTACAAAAGTACTATAAACTTACTGAATTTAACAATAGACGAGCAACTATTTCCATTCCGAGGAAATTTACATAATAAATTCACATAGTATATACCATCAAAACCTGTTAAATATAGTATAAAAGTTTGGTGGGTATGTCAATTATTAATTTAACGAACAAATTTACACTAGAAAAGTTTACAAATCGAAAAAAGAATCAAGGTGAAAAAGTCATAAAAAATTTGGTCACTTTATACAAGAATTCGAGACGAAATATTTTGATGGATAATTTTTTACAATTTTGCCTTGTAAAACATCTATTGTCATGGAGCTTAACAATTGTAGATACTTTGGAGGGGAAGGAGAACGAAATTCCTCGCGAAATGCCATCTAAGTCACGTCCAACAAGTTTTCGAGAATATTTGGATTCCACGAAAATGTAACGGTATGTTCTTAAGCTTACCAAAGCAAAGAAAAGCTATTGTATTGCTGTCAACAAAGCATCATGACATTGCTATTTTTGGGCCGAAAGAAAAACCGGAAATTGTCCATTTTTATAACAAGATAAAATCTGGCGTAGATATAATGGACAAGCTTAGATGATATACCACGTATAGACCAATAATAGTTGGCCCATCACTTTCTTTTATAATATTCTAGATATCATTGCTCTCGCTACGTATATAATTTTTACACTGATATAAACAATGATATGCTAAGGAAATGGACACATCAATGTAACATATTTTTACATTAATTAGGAGAAGAATTATGTTTTCCATCAATTCAAGATCGGTCGCAAAACATACTAATAATGAAAAATTTTTCCACGAGAATTGACATCAAAAGTATGCTTTCTATGAGCGCAATTAACAAATCGACTTCTATCTCCGCAGCTACATCATGAGATAAAACCGGAAGGAAGTGGGAATTTGTAACATATGTAAGAATGTAGGAATTAGAAAGCGCATAAAAACAAAAAAATATCGCGTAAACTGCAACTTTGTGATGAGCATTCTCATACTTTCATAGATGCACAGATTGTCCTCAAGATTAGTAAACATATATAAACATATATAAACTTTTAAAATTGTTAAAGTACAGAATTTTTTATTTTTTAATTACACACGCGCGCGCGCGCACACATACATACGCACATACATATACACACAAATAAACTAATTCTTTAAATGCCTAAATATACTAAACTAAATCTTCCCTTTCTGTCTTTTTAATACGAAATGCATGCGGATATTTTGATATCACGGGTTGAACAAGTACGTTGTCATATTCAATACCCAAAATTTTTGTCACAAATATTTTTAAATTGATAAATTTACATAAAATTGTCATAAAATAAGTAGAGCTGTTTGGCGATATTTGACTAAAAACTAAAATTTTGGGAAAAAAGTTATAATAGTATTATCCGAATATCCCGCATTAACATAAGGGTTAAAATGTTGGGCATGGAAAACTTACACGTTTCAATGTAATGTTTCACATGAAAAATGTTTGCAAGAGAAAAACGTTTGAAAAATGTTTGAAAGAGAAAAATAAAGCTTGAAAGCGTTCACTTTTCTTATTTTAAAAAGAGTGAGTTATGACTAATGTAGATGTAGAAAATTAATTAACATCAAATTGTGAAAACATTAAAAAATACGATAATCAAATTAACGTCTACAAAATGAATTATCTACCATTCGTGAGGCAATGTTGGTACCTATTTGTCACATTGATGTTTCAACGTTTGCAATTGCAGTTGCAGCAACGATGAGCGGAAACAAGGATTACAAATCAGCCAACTCGATTTACGATTTCACGGCGACTTCCATAAAGGGAGAGGAAGTTCCTTTGTCTAAGTAAGCATGAATCCGATCGTATCGAGTAACATGGTGTTGTAGAAAAGATGTAATATCATCTGTCTCGTTGATTTTTTTAGCTACAAAGGACATGTATGCTTGATTGTAAACGTTGCCTCGAAATGCGGCCTCACAGCAACAAATTACAAAGAACTGAACGAATTGTACGATGAGTACGCTGAATCCAAAGGTAATTTCTGCGATATACGAAAATAAAAATTATTTCACACCATAAAGTAATTAAATATTCCGGTATTAAATATTCCTTTGTCATTCAACAGGATTACGGATTCTAGCATTTCCCTGTAATCAATTTAATGGACAAGAACCCGGCAACAGCGAGGAGATTTGCAGTTTCGCTGATCGCCAGAAAGTAATTTTTCTTCTAATCTTTCATGAATATATATTTAAAATTTATTTAAGAAAATGCTTCATTTTTTTGACTAAAAAAACGTAATACTATATTATTCTTTGAATAATGAGTAATGACAGTAGCAATTGTCTGCCTTTTTTGATGAACAAACTTATTACACTTATTTGGTCATTTGCATCATTTGCAGGTAAAATTCGATTTGTTCGAAAAAATCGATGTGAACGGTGATAACACGCATCCCCTTTGGGCATATCTGAAGAAAGAGCAAGGCGGCATACTGGGTAACTTCATAAAATGGAACTTCACCAAGTTTATCGTGAATAAAGAGGGCAAGGTCGTGGAGCGACACGGTCCTAATGTGGATCCCCACAAGCTAAAGGGTTCTTTGGAAAAATATTTTTAAACTGCTTGTTTTCACACAATTCCCTTAACTTAATATTATTGATGGTTTAAGCGAATTTAGCAAGGGATTTTTAAATCTTCGTAATATGAATGCGATGTTTCCACATATACATATAGATTTGACACAAACTATAGTCTTTTTTCTTCTTACATATTACATTACAACAAATATTCTTAATTCTTCTTCAACATTGATATGCATATATTTTATAAATTATTGCATCATATAATTATAAATTATTTAATTATTGCATCATATAATTATAAATTATTTAATTAACTGGAAATTTATATTATGCATTTTATCTTTTTTATATTCAAAATTTTATTTAAAATAAATTTTCAAACATGCATATTATTAGTTTTAAACATGCACTTTACTTTAGTTACAAACAATAGTTAAATCATGATTTAATTTTTTCACTTTTTGTTCTACATTCTATGATAATTGCATTAATAATTATCTAAGAATAAAATTATAATTTTTAAATTTTGTATACTATGACATTATATCAAAGACTAAAAGATATACAATTATGTTTAAACGCAGAAATATATTGTAGCATCATAAGGCTTTTTTGTTGTAAGAAATAAATAAAAAGAATATAATGTTTAAAATCAGATACACAGTTATTCATCAAACATGCGAGCATCTACGAATCATGAAGGTTGTATTTCACAGAATATAATTTGCAAGAACGTATGTAAATTGCAATATGTTCGCGACCCAGAGAGAGAGAGAGAGAGGGAAGTAAAGATGCGAATCGCGCTTTGTTCCATGCCAAGCACGGAACAATCTAACTCACGTTCGTATTATTTTCGGCTTCGCATTCCTATATAAACGCGGAAATTGCATGCTGTGCATCAAAGGGTCAGAATCGATGTTTCATTACACCTCGGCTCAAGTGTACCCTTGAAAGATGCGGAATTGCTATCAATTAATTTGGAAACTTCGAGTTGGCGGATCCCGCGGGACACGCGTAGTCGATACGTTTGCTCAACCGCCACAATAGCACGCTGACGTGAATGAATGTAATTTCACTCGCGCGTGTATACACGCCCACTCTTCTTTCATCGCGATAATTAACGGCGGCGGTCACTTTCACGCGGCGTTTACGCTTGTTCGGCGACCTTGTCTTTACGGTGTCACTGGCAACACTACACTTTTAGCTTAATTGTG